AAGAAATTTTTTTAAAAAGCCACAAATTAAGTAATACTCAAATTTAAATATATTAAAAATCTGATTACAGGCTTTAAGGGTAGGGTGAATGTTGATCATTTTTAATACAAATCACGTTATATTTTTTGTATAACAATAATATAATAAACCTAAAATTAACCATAATTTCTGCAGAAATTATGATAATTTATTTAACAAAATAATACCAATTTTGCATATTAGCATTTACTTGTGTATCAGGTATTATACCAGTTATAATAATACTACTAGATAAGCTAGTGCTACCTTCAAACAGTTTTCGTAATATAATTTTTTCTTGAACTAAACTGCGAATAACTAAATCAGTTAAAGCAAACTGAACTGATTCCTTTGTTTTCAATACCTTTCTTTTTTCGGTTGAATATACTGGTAAATTATTCCATTTTTTTTGTTTTATTTTTATAGTTTTTCCACCTCTAAATACATCTATTATATCATCCAGGCTAAAGATGGGAACTGTAATTAATATGTTGCAACTTTTAATGTTGCAACTTACGTTGCAATTAGTTTTAACCTATATATGTTGCAACTAATTTTAACTTATGTTGCAACATTTTGTAAATTTGAAATCAATTGCTGTATCATCTTTAATCTAGGCCAACTTATTCATCTATTTCTTGGGTAAGATATTCTATTACTTCCAATAGTTTTATAATCTCTTTTTTACCATCGAGTAATTTTGGTTTGTTGGCATTTTGATTAATACAATTGTTACATGTTCCACATTCAAGTGGTTTTATTTCATTAGGCCATACTTGATATTGCTAAATTAGCTGTTAACAGCACTCATATTGTGAAATACAATAATAAAAGACTTCAAAAATTTTTCTAGTAGCACATTCAAATTTATCAATTAATTTCTGTTCAATATTTGTAATAATGGATGCACTATCAAATATTATATTAAATAATAATTAGCTATTATAATAAACATAAAATTTGTAAAATATAATACTAACGTTTCTCGATATTCTGCTATTATAGAATAATTTATACTAATATCCTTTTTATTAAAAAAAATAAAATGTTTTGCTGTATTTCCATCTCAGCCTACACGTCCTGCTTCCTGAATAAGATTAGCTATCAAAATGCAAATAATGTAATAATTAAGATACATAATAAATAAATTGAATTTAGTATGCATATATACATACTTATACTCATCGGTGCTCCTATATTAAAGATGGTACAGCAATTGATTTCAAATTTACAAAATGTTGTAACATAAGCTAAAATTAGTTGCAACATATATAGGTTAAAACTAATTGCAACGTAAGTTGCAACATTAAAAGTTACAACATATTAATTACAGTTCCCATCTTTATCCTATATGAATTACCACATGTATGTTATTTGAATTAATTTCCATTCCAAAAGCAGATGTTGCAATCATTATTTGTGTATAATCAGATTTCCAATTATTTATTGCCATTTCTCTTTCCTCATCACGTAAACCATCATGAAAATAATCTATTAAAATATTTGTCAAATTTTCTTGTAATTTGTTATATAAGTATTCACAAGAAGAATGCGTTACACAATATATAATAATACAGCCAAGTAAGTTTGCATTAATGATACTTATAATATCATTAATATATTGATCTCTGATTTCTTTTCGTTCTTGTACATTAAAGATTATTTCTGATCGATGATTTACAGAACCACAAATTAACGTAAAATTATTCTCTTCAATATTTAAACTCCTAGAAATCTTATTTACTTCTGATCATGTACATGTTACTGTGAGTAACATAATTGAAGCAAATTTCCAACGCTGTTTTAATATTTCAAGTTGATCCCAAGCTTCTTTATAATATGTATAAAATAATATAAATTTTTAATACATTACTAATTAATAATTTTTACATTAATATTTATTATACTTACCTAAAATCCTAATATGCTATAATACAATGCGTCTCATCGATTACAAATTGAACCTTTTTTTGTTCATAAAGTCGTGTAATAAATTTGCAAAATCTCTCATTTAATGTTAGCTTTCAGGTGTAACAAATAACACCTTTATAAGACCACATGCTATTTCTTCGAAAATTTTTCCTGAATACGTATTTCTTGTAATGTATTAGCATATAAAGTGGCACATAGAATACCCGCTTTTATAAGTTTCCACTAAATATAAATAAAATTATAAGTATAAAATATTAATATATCTATAAAAAAATTATTATTTATTAATATTAATCTTTTAATCTTCAATAAGTGCTTTAAGAGGACTAAAAACAATAGTCAAACCTTAAAAACAAATGGCTGATATAGCATAACATAAAGTTTTTCCTTCACCAGTTCTCATGAATACAAATGTATCCTTACTACCCAAATAATCGCAAATTGCTTCCATCTGTTCTTCTCGAAATTCATCAAACCCAAAAATCTTTTTTTTTTTTTTTTTAAGTGCGGTAGTTTCGCAAAATCTTTATTGATAATATAAAATATAAAATTTACATAAAACAGAAGTTACGAAAATCTCTATCTAAAATAATCAGAAAACTATTCTAAATCAAAACCGATCCTGCATTTTTCCAGAATCAAATATAAAAAAAATTTTACATCATCACCTTCTAGTAAACCAACCAAAGAAAAAAAAGGGCTTGATCCCTACTGCACCAAAAATTTGTCCAATGCGATTCCAAACGTATCATCTTAGTAATTAAGTCTGTAGGTGAAAGGTTAGCAGAAGACAATTGAAATCGATAACCTGTAGCATCTGTATGCGATCTTTTCAAAAGATCCGTAATGTTATGAGATTTTTCAAAATCTTTGAGTAATGAACATTGATCCATCCATATTTTTTGAGTGTAGGTAAAAATGAAGTGCATAAAGTCTGAAACTGTAGCTATCGTAGTATTTTGCGAAGTGACATGTGTTTTGATAAATGAGTATAGTTCAGTGGAAATAATGCCTTTGATTAAATCAACAAAAGAGAAAGATGAGGTTGGTGAAAGCGATCAAATATCAAGGTGATTCATAATGGATGTGCGATTATCTAGTTGGGTAATGTCCTTGAGATATAATTTTGACAGTTTGATAATATCAAGTATGTCTTGATGAACTGAAGCACAAGTCCAAATATGGTTGAAGTCTTCAAGCATTGTATTACAACAAATACATAGCTAGGAACGATCATAGATCACAGGATGTTGTAGTTGTAAAACAGCTATTGAAGGAAGCATTTCTGAGATTCTCTATACCTTTTTCTTTTTCAATTCAGAGGCTTCATACATTATTGTTGAAGTGGCAGTATTATTTGAGATGTAGAATGCAGTCGCAACTCAGTTTATATCTATGCTGAGATATTTATGATTGACATCTAGATTTAGAAATAAAGCTAAATGAGTAGATTGAATGATTTCTTTGATAATAGGTCTAATAGGTGAAGTGATCACTATTTGATGAAGGTGAAGTGATGGATGTGATTGGTCAGAAGGAGTTAGGTGAAGAGCTTGTGTATTAAACGCATTTTTTGCCAATACGTGCACTTTCTCATTGAACGTGTCTCTAGAGTGAGCTTTGATTTTGTGCATTGTAATTGATAATGAGCATGTATCAATAACTTTGAAGAAGCAATTCCAAATGT